CAAATAACATCACACCATTATATCGGATTGTGAAGTTATTCCATTCATAAATATTTCAAGAAAAACAGGCAAAAATAGAGAGAAAAAAGGAAAAAAATAGAAAATAAAAACAGGGAAGAAGAACAGGGAACTAGAAACCATCTATGTAACCATTTGAACAACTGAAAAAAGACCTAATTGTTTATACTGGCTAGCCCATGTTACAAATACCCATTCCTTTCCACTTTTCTGTTTTAGCCTCCTGCTGGATTTTATCATTAACCTAGGTAGGGGGCTCTTTGGACAAGGCTTTTTTTTTCAATACTCATTTATATAGCATCTAGGATAATGGGTCCCTGGTCTTCAATTTGACCCCTTTGAACTGTAATTCAAATTAATACTACTAACAAACATAGAGATATTATCATGAGCCCAAAAGCAAACAACATTCAGAGTCAATTAAAAATGTTTTGCCTCATATGCTTTTAACAGGTAGTCAGCAGATCTTTTTCCCTCAAAAATCTTCCTCCTTCCATAATTCTATCATGGCATGTCTCCGGATACCACGTCAATCTTTTTCTAGGCCTCTAATTTTCAGTTCCACATCACACATGCAAGTTGAACACCAAATCAAAATAGGCCTTAGCCAAAATGCATGTCATAACTGTAGTAATTCTGTCGCTCAGAGTTAATGTGTGATATATATGGATGAGCTGGTAACAAGGATAGGCTCTGTGATGCTGGGAAGCATACACTGTGCAGAAGATAGGGAATTATTTCAGATGAATAGAATCATTCAGTGGGGGCCACAGAACTGGCTACTTAACATTCCACACTGTCTACTGCCGTGATACATCTGAATGTCAAGATAAAAAATTAATGTGGCTATTTATCATCACAGGAAAACCACTGAATATGGGGAGATCCACGAGCTCACCACAGATGAACAATTTGTAGAAGGGGTATACAAGATTGAGTTTGACACCAGCTCTTACTGGACCAGACTTGGCCTATCTCCATTCCACGAATATGCTGATGTGAGTATTTATTCAGCTGTCTTACACATTGAGTAGAACATCTGCTTTAAAAGTGCATATGCACAAAGAGTAGCATTATGCACTGCAGCATCTCACCCTATCATACAGCATCATCTGCAGAAAATCTGCAGTACATTCCACTGGAATCAAAGAGCTCCCTCATAAGTTAATGGGCCAAACTCTCCGCTAGTGTAAATGGGCAAAACTCCACTGCAGTCAACGGAACTGCCCCCATTCACACCAACAGAGAACCAAATTGTACTCAAATTGGTGCATTATTCAAATACCTTAAAGATCTGAAATGTTCTGCAGTATGGAAATGCTTTTATCATTGCTGGGATGGCTGCAAGGCTTTGGAGATCCATAATGAATGAATGGTATCAACATAATATAAATCAGAAAAGGGTCTTTTTTTTTTTTTTTTTTTTTAACTGGGGGCATTTTCTTGTTTTGAACAGCAACTCCAGGTTCGGTAATCTAGAAATCACTGAAAGCTCTTTAATCTGACCTGTAGCTTTAAAAAGTCAGACATATTTTTTGCCTGCATATCATGTGTTATAGTAAAGTTTAAAGTGCATTTCTCCCCAGATCATTTCTAAAGCACGTGATAGGGAAAACTTCAAACAAACACCATCTAGGAATAAATTATAAGGGAAAGGAAAAAAATCAACATGGCTTTAAAGGCTATTCTATCCAAAATTTCCAGAAGGACTGAGGAGTAATTGTACCTTATGTTTTCATTGGCTGGTGGCCTAGCACTTCTATTTTTTTCACATTTTATAATGTTTACATAGAGTTTCCAGGAAAAAAAAAGCAGCTTATTATTGAATTCTATTCAATTTTCCTAAAAGACTGAATCAAATATTCTGAGAAGCTCTAAACTACATTACATTTTAAATCACAAGCCTGTTTTATATTGCTAAGGACTGATCCTGCAAGGAACTGAGACCACTTCCATTGTCTTCTGAGAATTAAAAAGTACTCCGCACCAGACAGGATTAGGTCTGTAAGGGCCTAATCCAAAGCCTAAAAAATAAAATCAATAGGACTCTTTTCACTGACTTCAATGAGCTTTACATTAGGTCCTGAACCCTCTAATAGAGATTTAGATTTCTCAAGGCATTAAATTGTATCTACTTTAGTAGGTTTACATAGTTAATGAAAGATTAAACCATTAACTGAAAGAAATCAGCCAAATGCTACTCCAGGGAAGTCTGTATGCTAAATCTATTGCTGAGGTAGTTTTGGGGTATATATGTTGTGCTTCAAACTGACAAGTATTTTCTTTTCCAGGTGGTTTTTACTGCTAATGATTCTGGGCACCGTCATTATACCATTGCTGCACTCCTCAGTCCCTTCTCATATTCAACTACTGCTGTAGTCAGTAACCCACAGGAATAAGTATGCCCCACAATACCCTCCATTGATAGAATTACCATAGGGTTTTAGGAGGTTGTTAATTCTTATAACTAACAGCATGCCTTTTTGCTATAGTAGTCTTTATTTTGTAACCTGGCCAAAAACTCAGACAAGTCAATAAATGTTTAAAGACAAAACTGTTGTGATTTTCCGAGTAATTTTTCTCTCTGTTCAGAAGGGACGCATTGGTGTAGAAGTGCAAAACAAAAAAACCCACCCATGCATTACCATTTGACTTAGTGCAGTAACTTGTAATTGAGCCCCTCTCTATGCTGTTAGAAAACAGTTAAATTCATTGCCTTTTTCTTTGATGCCATGTGTTTGAAAGAAGTTACATTTTGGCAGTGAATACCAAGAGCTATAGTCTGCTATCAGCATACATGCTTAAATTCCAGAAATAACTAAACTAATTCTAATGAAATTATAGTCACATTTATTTATTATTTGTATCATGGCAATGACACGGGACTAAGTGGCCACGAGACAACATTGTTCTAGGAGGGATGCAAACCCAAAAGAGACCACCACCGCACAAATGAGTAAGGGGAAGGGGATAAAGTTTAAAAGCAAAGTGAACAGACTGATGGTTTTTATCATGAACTTTTATTCAAAATGCTGTATGCATCTAAACATTTGACCAAATTCAGTTTATGGATGCCATTTGTCAATCTTCTCAAACATCTCTGCACTTGCCAAATTCAGCTGGAAGCAGATATAATGAAAGAAAGCGTGTCCCTATTTGGAAAAAGAAAAGTACCTCCATTTGTCCCTTTCAACAGCACAGTGGAGTTCTATGAAACTTCATGTTAATTCAATCCCAGCCTCATGGACTCTGCAGGATTTCACCATCAGTCCCAACGCCATCAGGATTTCACCATCAGTCACAACAGACACAGAATAATGCTCTTGCTCGCTCTCCACACACACACACACACACACACTCACTCACTCACTCACTCTCTCTTTAAAGACAAGTGCTAAGACAGAAGCTTGACTTTTAACAAAGTTATCTGTGTGACAACTCAAGAGATCTTGCAAAATCAGCATGGGTTGCTGCAGACTGTGTGTGATCAGCTGAAGTCATGGAGACATTGTTTTTTGGGGTAGTGGGTGGGAATCATTTGTCTAGACTGGTGGATTAGTCTGCTGGATTGAGTATGTTTGTTCTAGTGGAATTGGCAGCCACTGGAATAGTAACTCTCAAAAATACCAGTTGAGTTTGCCAGTGACCTTTTAGTTTAAATTCTTTAAATTGAGAGCTTGTTCAGAAGACTTGGTACAAGTGACTTAATAAATTAATAAAACTGTAAAGACTGCAGCAAAAAATTAACTGTTTGGATTTTTCTAATTTCTGGACTCTGCCCTTGTTATATAACTCTTACAAACAAAAGTCAAATATTTCCATTTGGTGCCGTTTCAATGGAATAAGTTTTAAAAAGTATCCAGTTTTTGGTAAATCTTATTCAGATTGCAGCTTGAAAAAAACAGTATGTTTGCCCTTGCTACACTCAATAACTAAATATTTATTTGTGAACAACAATTGCATACAGAGAACAAAATGTTTTTACTTAACCACATTCAGTTATCCATGCAATTCTAGGTTTCACACAATTGAAGACTGAATATATGTGTTAGAAGCAATGGCCACAAAATTCAGGTCCTTATTTCAGGGCTCTGCATGGAGCACATTTAAAAAAAAAAAAGTATACATCCATCACTCTCAAATTCATCACATGTTCTTGTCCTGACCCAACGATTTGTAGCCACATCCCACAGTCTCTTGGGACGAATGCAAGAAACCATTGCAGTTATGATGGTGGGAATTGATGATGTGCAGGGAGGGCAGAAATGTGTTTAGGGAAATTCTGGAGGGGTTAGATTCTCCTTAGTGTGAGCTATTGGGTGTTTTTCTAGCCTGTGTGGTTGCTAATGGCCAGGGTAGCTGATGTTTACTGAGGACTTGTCTGCAAGTTAGGTGGAGCTGTGGTGGGGAGTGCTTACATAAAGACTTCTATGATGAGACATCAACAATCTTATTAAAAGAAGAATCCAGCTGATCACAAGCATAGAGCGACAATTTAGATTACAAGACAAAGTGCCAAATTAAAAGAAATAACTACCAATTTTAGGGATTAACTTTCCACGTGCCATTGATTTGGGCCATAATTTATTATAGTATTTAGATAATAATTTGACGACCTGAAAACAGTTGGGTGCAAATGGCTTTTGGACATCTATGCGACATGGAGGGGAGATAGGCAAGTGGAAGCATGACACAAAGTGATCTGACACAGCTGCACAACTCTGAAGAGGCTGTCTAAGGTGATCTGTAGACTGCTGCTTTTTTTCAGAAAAAGATAACTAAATTGTGCTCCGCAATTTGCGTATCTTTTTCCGATTGTTTTTTCAGAAAAGGCTTTTCTAAAATTTGGCCTGTCTACACTGGGCCAAATTTTGGAAAAGCTTCCTCTTTTTGGAAGAGCCCTTTTTCCTCGTGAAACGAGAAAGACAGGGCTTCTGAAAGAGCGTGTCTGCTCTTCCGCAAAAAATGTTGGAAGAACAGATGCATTCCCTGGATGCGGCAGCATTTGTCCAGGTTCCTGGAAAAACTCTGTAGTCTAAACATAGCCTAAGAGGATGGAGCGGTCCACAATGACTTTGGTACTGTTTTCAACAAAGAATGAGGTAAGTGACCGTTGGTTTTAGATACTCTCACCCATATAATGAGTGTATTTTCCATGTTATGACCAGAATTAAATCTACACTGAACTTGAAATATATATTATTGCACAAGAGAGAAGGAAAATCTCACACATTGTCAAGATCACATCTTCAAAATCAATATAACACAGAAAAGGAAACATGGAAAGGAATAGGCCATTCACAATAAAGCAACTGTGATCAGCAAGGCAAAAAGCAATCTAATTTATCTTACTGAAGGTAAATGCAGCAGACTAATCTCCACAGGCAAGGTTCATGTTTGTGTGGGTTACTTATTCTCTTACTATTTACTAAGTACACAATCAGAATCAGCAACTTTGAAGTCATACGGACATTTGATAAACAGTCTAATTTGAGGGGATTGGGTATAAAATCCCAAATCCCATCCGTTTCTAGTTGCTGGTACTGAGACACAAACTACAAGCAGAATGGCCTTCCGCTCTTTGCTCCTTATCTTGTTAGCTGGGTTGGTGTTGTTCTCGGAAGCCGCACCACTGGTAAGGAAGTGTTTTGGTATTTAGGTGGCTTTTCAAATGTGATTGCTGTAACCTATGTCACTAAAAAATACCCAATGAGAATTGGAATAAATGAAAGTTAACTGTAATAAAACAGAGTGATTTATTTTAATTATAGCTTCTGTGATTGCCCTGCACTCTCCTACCTCTTTTCTTATTCCTATGAAAGAGTGCTCCCCTCGTTTGCGGCAGTTATTTATGATGATGAAAGTGAGTAGATTGAAGGTGCTATATGCTATTACAGCCTATGAGGATAATTTCAACAACTACAGAAAGGTGGGAGGGAAGAAAACTCATAGCCCCCTTCCTTCTCAAATATAATTCAGCATTGGCAGGCTGTAGAGAAGCACCTCCTGCCCTCACAAGCCATCAACGCCATCAACAAGACCTTGGTGAGGCACTGGTTGGGTGGATGTATTACCTGAGAATTCATCTCCCTGCAGGCCTAATTGCCTTTTATTGACTAACCTGTTAATTCCTTCTGTAATGACTCTTGCAGTGACCTCAGGAGAGAAGGAAAATGAAATGGTGCCTGGTCTTTTTTTCTACCCAATCTTCCTTTATTCCTCCAGCTCTTCCTGTCTTCCTAGTTGGAGTGGATCACCACATCCTCTGCTCTGAAAGAGACCTGCAACCAAAACTAAGGGTCCATCCTCCCCTCTCCCATGCCTTGTGGCACTCATGTGGCTCTGAAAAATGTGGTAGATCCACACACAGTGTAGCCTGTTGATCTCCCCCAGCAGGATTGCCCTTGTACACCCAGTCTGCTCTACTAGTTTGAGGAAGCTAGTCCCTTTGATTTTGGGGTGGAGAAAAACAGGTTCTACTCATTTTGCCCTGAATACCCTGACAGAGTTTCTGAAGTGGTGGCTCAGAAGCTCTTTCATCCATAGAAGTTGACAAATTCTTCCTGCAACCTGCTCTGCTGAAAGCAGGGAGGAGGGGGAGTGAGAAAGTCAGTCAGGGCCACCAGTTTGTTTTGGTTTCTTAGGTTAATAGATGATCTTTTCTCTGATTAAGTGACAGGATCCCTAGAGGGAAGCGAGATTGTCATGGGTCCTCAGAAGGGATTAGAAGTGAGAGAAGGGGGTCTCTCAGTTTAAGTTATTACTGTTTTTTAATTAGAACCTCCCTTTAAAAAAAAATCACAAACTGAAACCTGATTTTTTAAACCAATAATGGTGGGACTAACCAGCAGCTACCATAAAGTTCTAGTTTCTATTTTATTTAAGGGACTATGTGAGGGGCAAGGTCCTGTGTCATCTTCATTCTCTTTGGCGTTGCTGGCCTCTCAGGGAGGAAGCACTCACTTCTCTAATGCATGCATGGAACATAATGGTTGCAGACTTTGTGCAGGGGAAGCTGTTTATATCCTCTCACCCATACACACTTGCCCAAGGGCTGTCCATAGTCTGTCCATAATGGGGTTATGATAACAAGAGAGAGCACATATGCAGTACTTGATAAGCTGAAAGTTAAACAAAGGAGGAAGGGGAACATGTGGCCACCATGACCATGTTTCTCTCCTGTCCAAGAGAACTCTCCTTTAGCCCTCACACTAACACAAGGAGATCAGGCTGCCAGATTCCAAACCATCACCACTGCCGGCTTCCATTATTAATAGCTTTATTCTGTCATCTTTGGGTTGGCTGTGCCGGTTAGCAACAACACTGCGCTGGATGTTAGGCAAAACTACAGCACCCCAGAGGGAGTGCATAAGGAGTGCACCACTTTGAGAGGGCTCTATTCTCTTCCTCCCTGTAGATCCTGTAGGCTACATTTTTGTATCATACAGTCAACTTGGTCTCATTTAACAAGAGTGTATGTGACACCCTCTGTTTCTAAAAAAGTAAAATGTTTATGAGGCATGCTCCATCATGCCCCATCACTCCTATATAATTTTCCATACAAGAATTACATCTCTCTTTTCTCTACAGGATTCCAAGCATCCTCTTATTGTGAAAATTCTAGATTCAGTCAGAGGATGTCCAGCTTCCAGTGTGCCTATTAAATTATATAAAAAGGCTGAAGATGGAACCTGGCAGCTCTTAAGCTCCGGGTAAGTAATATAATAAAATGAGAAGAGGCAAGAGAGGTCTTGAAAGAGGCTAAAGTTTAGAAAACCCTAATTTTATAGGCATTCATGTCAAAAACACGTAAAATGTCATTAGTTATAATTGGAGAAGCAGTAAGGTAATGTATGCCAACACCAAATATTTACTCTGTGTGGGGATCTCCTCTTCTAATTAAATTGTAACTGTAAAGCTAGTAGACTGGGTCCTGACTGGTTTGGAAAAATTGCTAACAGAAGGGAGATAACTCACAGACAGCATGAAATATGGTATAAAAACTTTTCTTCTATCAATTGTTCTTTGATTCTTCCTCTTCATAACATTTCCCTTTATGGCTACAAGAAGCACTTCAGTTTTTAGTATAAAGTCTACCTCCACTGTCATGTTGTAAGAGAATGAATGCCCACCAATATCTACATAAGATAGTATGCTGTAATCAGAAGAGACTTCTAACTTGGTTTGAACTTGAAAGTGCCAGTTAAGAATTCTGGCTGCATTGGAGCATAAAAAAGAAAGCTTTCATTGCCAACGGTATAGTAACTTACAGGAGAAAGAATATTGTCTGGCTAAGGAAACCAGTGTCCTCTGATAAGAAGTCTGCAATAGTCTGGACATACAAGTGGGTAGTGAAAGTTGTCACACTGCAGGAATCCACCACTAATGAGACACCTAACCCCAGATCAACTGGGCAAGTCTTTCAATATTATTACACAAAGGAATTATTAGTGGTGATACTCCATTTGTTACAACAAAAGTGCCAATACATTTTAGTGAACTTATGACAAACCTAATAACCCATGGATACATATAATCACACTGAGTAGGGGGGTGAAGGAATGTAAAAATCTAGCCATATATTTTCCCATTTAAACCAAAATGTGTCCTTAACCCCAAAGAAGGAAGCACAAGCATATGGTGAACAGCTGATAGCATATGCTGTCACTTGAGATATGTATACTTATTCCTGAAAGAAACAGGCTACCCTGGTAATATACAAAATACAGTGTAATTTAGAGTGGGAGGCAGGTTGTGTGGGCAGGTGAGTATGTAAACATGGCATGGAAGGGAGAGCTGGATGCTTTAAGGTCAGTGTTTAAAAACACCTGAGATCTGATGCAAAGAACCTGTGGTGGCATTTTCATTAGGGTCTATCTGGCAGAGATAATCATGTAGAGCTCTCTAAGTAGTTGAACTTCACTGGAGACAGAGAAATTACTTCCATACTCACTTCAGTGTGATACTGGAATTTTAACAAGAAATGCTCAGAAGCCCACTATAGGGCATCACTGTACTCATAGCTAAAAGTTATTGGACTTTAGTTGAGAACGTTTAAGTAAGTTGATTAACCATGATCAATGTAAGATAAAGAAACATTTTCATTAATCAGGAAAAATTCTAAGGACAGGCTTGGAAGAATTCTAATGAAAGATGAACATGGAATCTGTGATTTAACAAATTCCTAGAAGAGCTAACTTAAGCCAGGAGACAATGTTTAATAAAGCTGCCGCATTCCCACATTGGCTAGCACTCAAAGTTCTACAGCTTCTAGCCAATATTAATGTCTTGATAGACTAATTTAAAACAACCTATTTGCTGGTGGAGAACAGACAAGTCAATGGACCATTGAAATGTCATAAAACTACACTTTGTCAAACCTATGGCAATCTCAATGTAATTCAAATTAATTGAAAAAGTGTTCCTGTAAATAAGATGAGCACAATAAAAGGAATCAGAATCCACCTTATGAAGTATTAATAAATAATAATAATGGGGAAATAGCCACTATATTAATTGTGCTTATTAAAACATCATGGGCATTATGCACACTTAGGCCAGTGCTTAATTTTTCTTGCCCCTCCTGACTTTAAAGTAACATTTAAATAACAGCCCAACAGCTCTCTTAGAAAGCAGTGAATAACCATGCCAGATTCCTTGCGGCTCACCTCCAGTCTTTGCAGCAGTAACTACAAAGAAGCTTCTACAGCCCAGCCATACTTCGTAGCATGTGTGGAAGATCTAGATTCCAGAAGAGATTGTCAGGCCTCCATAGAACAGAGAGGAACAAGTCATTCCAGATGATCATTCAGCAGCTTCCTATATGTCTGGCTAGAGTGTCATTACAGTTCAGTGCTATAGATTGCCTCTGTTTCAGATGTCTGAACACAAAAATAAATGTATTTTATCTTGCTCTCATACAGAAAAACCAATGAAAATGGAGAGATCCATGAGCTCACAACTGAGGAACAATTTGTAACAGGGTTATACAAGATTGAGTTTGACACAGTCACCTACTGGAAGGGACTTGGTCTTAACCCATTCCATGAATGGGCTGATGTGAGTATTTGTTATACTTCTATTTCTCATTTTTAAAGGGACCTATAATTGCAAAGAACAAAGCTGTGTTAATTGTATAGTATTTCATTCATAATTGTGTCCATGCACAGAACCCTGCTCTACATTTTCAAAGCCTCTGCCATGAATTAACACCTTCAGGTTCACTGAGCAGTTCAAATTTGCAAACTCAAAGCTCCACAGGAATTTCCATACACCAAATACCCCAGAACTAGCCTTCCATTTCCTCTCAGCAGGCTTCTAGCCTTGTTTTTCCATCTAGGGATTTTTCCTCCAATTTCTGCAGCTACACAGCCCCCCTTCCTAAGTCTTGGGAGGAGGAAGAAGGGACCGTACTTATGGGAAAAGAACAGCAGAGCTATTTATCCCTCAGTCTAATGGAGAAGAGGAGGGTTCCATATTTTCCTTGGCACATCACTAATGTTTTTTATAGTGATATTTGCCATAGTGATACCAATATAGCAACTTAATATGTGATTGATTTTTTTAAAGGAAGGTTGAGCCAATGCTCTACCTGCATGCAACAGTTATTTAATATCTATAGAAATAATATGATTTAATATCAATAATATTCCAAGTTGAATCCCTTTCCATTTACTTCTCCCCCCCGCAGCTTTGGAAACTGCTCTAAAAAATCACTAGCCTCAAGTTCTTTTGCATCAGAACTTGGTTTGGGGAGGAGACAAAATTCCAGAGTGGAGAAACGCTCCACTGAAAACACTTTGCTAGCAACCAACTGACATATCTTGGACCTATCATATTGGCCACCCCAATTTATTTCTACTAGGTACAATATGAGAAGGCGAAACAATTGATCACCTACTTAAGCCCCTCAGGAGAAAGCAGTTGTGGTGTTTGGCTGAAATAAAAACCTGGAAATGTTTAAAATGACAAATTTCAACATTTTTATAATTGGAATCTATAGATTGGGCTAATTAAAATATTATTCCCAAAAAACTGACTTTGTTTGAAATACAAGTGTATACATCATTAAGTTCTCATAGCAGGAGAGACATATCATGAAGTCTATGGATGGCAAGGACAATACATGAGAAATAGAAACTTTGTAGATCATTCCTAATCTCAATAGGGCAGTGCAAAACACAGATACGTTAGGAATCCACAGAACATATAGTGCTGTAGAGGGTAAGGAACATAATTAGCTAGAGATATTGCAGAATGAAACCTGGCAGGAGCTGGGAACTTTGCACAAATCATGATTTATGAAAGGCAATAGGAGCTTCCATGCCACATGAAATTTAGGAATTGTGTAGGAGACACATTAGTGTGGGCGAACATAAGAGGACCTAGAGCCTTCATTAGGTCACTTTTTTAATATATACACCATTAAAATTTTAAGATGAGGATATAATTATATAGATTGTAGCAAAACATTTAAGTTACAAAATAATCAATTAAGGTCAAGTAGATACATAAGTCCTGCCCTGTGAGTGTATTATGCCAAATCACATAGGCCCTTTTGCATATTCCATCTGCAGTTTATACAATCTCTTAGGGCACATCTACACTGCAGGGCAAAAGTCAAATTAAGATACAGGCAGTCCCTGACTTACGCGGATCCGACTTATGTCGGATCCGCACTTACGAACGGGGTTTTTCTCGCCCCGAAGCTCACAGGCGGCGGGTCGCCACCAGTGTCTTCCGGGGCGAGAAAAGCTTCTCCAGGTCTCCCTGGTCTGCTGGGGGGGGTCCAGCAAAGCCGCTGGACCCCCCCCCCCCCCCACACCTGCAGTCTGGACACTCTCTTGCAATGCACTTTTTTAGTGTGGACGTGCTCTTGCGCAAGTTTTTGCAGAAGATCTCTTCCGCAAAAAGCTTCTTGCACAAGAAGCCTGTAGCGTAGGCATAGCCACAGACACTAGCTGGTGTCATGCAATATGCTCCCAGTATTCCCAGCATATCTCTGGCATTTATATCCATCCACTCACTCTCTGAATCGCTGCAGTAGACACAATCATTAGCTTCATCGTCATCAATATATTGGAAGGCTCCTTATGACCAATGGTGGCAAACATGGAGTCTGCTCCTGCTAGGTTTTCACAAAAAAACACTGTGATCATTGCTGATTTCATGGAAGTCACTGAGATTTTTGCTTGAGTAAGAACTACAGGATTAACACATTCTATTCTGGACATTTATTTCTTCTCCAACTCATCTGATGAAGTGGGGTTTACCCACGAAAGCTCATGATATTATATACTTTTGTTAGCCTCTAATGTGCCACAGGACTATTTATTCTTTTTAAAGTTAGGGTGCATCTACACAGCAGAGCTAAAGTTGAATTAAGGTATGCAACTTTACCTACGTCCACTGTGTAGTTTAAGTCAAAATAGCTTATCTTGGCTTTAGATGCTGTCTACACAGCAGGAAGTCGAAGGAAGAGCATTCTTTCTTCAACTTCCCTTACTCCTTGTGAATTGAGGGATACAGGAGTCAGAGTAAGTCCTCCAGCTCAAATTTATTTTGAAATAATGTCAGTTATTCAAAAATAACAATGCTGTGTAGACATACCTGCAATGTACATATACCAGATAAGCAAAAAGTTAGCCTGGTGTGATTAACAGAATATTTTAAGGTATGCAGTATAAATATACAAAATGAATTGGATGAAGCTGGATATTATGTTCATCTGCAAGTTGTCTGATTCAGAAGAGGGTGATTATTAGTAGGAAAAGTTTAAAGTTTTAAATCTGAATAGGGAGGATGGTTAGGTTAGTTTGTATTTTCTGCTTCACTGTGGAATAATGATAGAGCACGCATTGTTCTTTTGGACCTGCACATACAGAAAATGTGGTATGCTGAGGTCTCAATGACAGTGGGTGTCTAAAATAAGGAGTATTGAGTCTTTGGTATATATGTGTAGGGGAGACGACAAGATGTGTCTGTTCTAGAAAGGAATAAAATCTAGGGTATTTGGGTATAAGGGTGGCTAATGTAGTCGTTCGAACTTGCAAATGAAGCCTGGGATTTAAATATCCCGGGCTTTATTTGCATGTTCCCAGGCACCACCATTTTTAAATGCCCCGTAGTTCGAACTACCTGCTCGCAGCTACACACGGCACGGGCTAGGTAGTTCGAATTAAAGCTCCTAATTCGAACTACCGTTACTCTTCATTGCAGTTACACATTGAATGCAACAACACAAAAGAACCATCAATACATTTCTGTAATTGTCATCTATTACTCTGAAATGGGTTTATCTTACTGTCATTGATGTCTCCGTTTCCTCTCTTCCACAAGTGGTCTGCAGTCTCACTTGGTGGATGGGGTAATCGAGATTTAACTATCTGGTCAAAACTCAGTAAATCATTCCCTCATTTTCAAGTAACGAAGCAGTCTTCCAGCTCTCACTAGGCTTGGTATTCAACTGCCCTCCATGGATTCAAAACCCCTTTCCCTTGTTGACACAAGGATACACACACTGATAGTGGTGGTGCAGGCAGTTCCTTTGCTCATACCCTAGGCTAAGCAGTGTCTTACCAAGGGCATGAGACTGTGAGAAGGGAAAGGAGTTGCTCCCACTTTCTACTGAACCTCCTTCTGAGGGGGCCCTAAGTACAAATTTAAACTCAGGTTACAGTCCCACACCTCCATCGCATTGCTCCAGGCCTCCTCTTTTACCAGTTAACCCCTCTCCAGAGTTTCTGCTTTTCCACAAAGTTTTACTTACTGCCATAGTTTCTCTGACTAATACCTTTCCAGGATTCCTCTTCCTCCTGTCTAAAGACATGCAACCATGCATTCCTCCCCGCTCTCTCACTGAGTCCAGATTTCATAGGATATAGTTCTGTAATCACTTTTTTCAGTTACATGGTTAGCCCCAGTAACAGAAGGGCCAGCATACTATGTTACAAATCCTTAGAGCCTGCTGAGAGCAAAGAAAGCACACATATCTATCCCAAATAGGGTTCACAAGTGGCCAACAATACCTTGTTATCAAGAAGCACTTTTTTTTAAAAAAGCACATCAGTCAAGAAAGTTTATGCGGTGTCTGTTCTATAACGTTGATTTATAATATCTTGCACATAGTTTACTAGCTTTATATAACTTACAAAATGTAAAAACACAGACCAAAAATTGTCAAAGCATTAGAAAAGAATGTGTGTGCTTCCGAAATTTAAACTCGAGATAAAACTATTGTATAGATTTAGAGGCACAGTTGGTTATTTGGGAACTGGTAAGTAATAAAGAGGACAGGTCACAGAGAAATCTGGATCACTTGATAAGTTGGATGCAAACACACTATGTTTCAAAATAATCAGATTTAATAACACACACAAAGAGCTATTAGACTAGTCACTCCACTCAGGGAAATGATGTTTCAAAGAAGTGCTGGAGGGTCATAGTGGAGAGCTGGCTGAACATAAGCTGTCAGTGCAACATTGAGGCCAAAACGTGTATAAATAAGGGAATCTTGAGGAGCAGAGAAGTTGTAATTTAGCACTGGTGCAATACTACTAAAATACTGTGCCACATTTCAAGGTTATTGATAAGTTAGAAAGGATTCAGAGAAGAGCCATGATTAAAAAATTGTAAAACATGTTTTGAAATAATAGACATATGCATCTCAATCCAGCCTATCACAGTCCACAAATACCTAGATGGGAAATTAACAGCGAGCCCTTCAATTTTAGCACAAAATTACAAGATCAATGAAAGTTGAAGCTACACAAGTTTAGACAAAAATAAGGAGCACTTTTTTTTTTTTTTTTTAAACAGTGAGGGTAAGTTGTTCCAAAGGTTAGTTATGAAGGGTTGTGGTGGATTCTCCATCCTGGAGAGATTTAAAATTAAGATTTGATTCAAACAAACAAAAACAAAAATAGTTTTACTCTAGTTCAAGCAAATAATGTGGGTAAATTCTATGGTTTGTGACATGCAGGTGGTCAGATAAGAATGATCACAATTATCCCTTTTGGCTTTAAAAATGTACAACTATGTATCACTCTCAAATGTTTTTCTTTCTCCTCTCCAGGTGATATTCAATGCTAATGATTCTGGTCATCGTCATTATACTATTGCTGTTCTCCTTAGTCCTTTTTCTTACTCAACTACAGCTGCAGTTAGTGAACCAAAGGAATTAGGAACTGCACATTAACCATGAAAACTGTCCTACGCTGGTCAATTTTGATTTGTCAATTGATTTCCTGTAATGAATGATTCTGCTCTTTGACTCCAACAGTCAGTAATTATTACTCACATAATATTTTTCATCTTGAAACATGAGCACACAAGCGAACTGCTATGCAAAAGATTTTTATTTTGAAAATTGTGTTAACTCTGGTAAAATAAATAAACACTTCTTAAAATGTTTTCAAATACTCTTTCAAATGTTTTTCTTTGTTCAGAAGTAATGCTCTTAGAGTTATAAAAAACCTATATTGAAACCACATTGTTGAGACACCAGAAGCAAACTCAAATCTTCCATAAGACTGATAAACCAAAGTCCTCATCACAAAAGAAATGTGAACAAAACAGATCTGTATTACAAAAAAAGTCTCAAAAGCAAAATTATGGAACAAGATGCATTTACTCTATCTTCATCAGTATGTTGTGTACTTAGACCCAGACACTGCCAAAAGAGGCAATAACAGCTCCTACACCAAATCCTTTTGATCTTGCACTTCTGCAGCTATGTCTACAAAAGACCAAATCAGCCTCCAAATGGTGACAAGATTGTGTGGCATTCAGAGATAGCTAATACTTATATAATTAAACAGAAAATGTATATTGTAAATAAGAAAAAACACCATGGGTGCGTCTAGACTGGCAAGATTTTGCACAAAAGCAGGCGCTTTTGCACAAAAACTTGCCAACTGTCTACACTGGCCTCTTGAATTTGCGCAAGAGCACTGCCTTTGTAATGTACAAAATCAGTGCTTCTTGCGCAAATACTTTCACGCTCCCGCTCGGGAAAAAGCTCTCTTGTGCAAGAATACTTGTGCAAGAGGGCCAGTGTAGACAGGGAAGAACTGTTTTGCACAAAAAAGCCCCGATGGCTAAAATGGCAATCGGGGCTTTATTGCGCAAAATCGCGTCTAGACTGGCCACGGATGCTTTTGCACACCAAGCACAGTCCACCTGTGGAACTCCTTGCCGCAGGATGTGGTGAAGGTCAAGATAGTAATAAAAAAGAACTAGATAAATTCATGGAGGATAGGTCCATCCATGACTATTAGCTTCTCCTACTTTTGTATATCACTGTCATTTAGAACCCAGGTCATACACAGTACATATAAATTTGGCTACGGTTGGGATACGAACTCTAGTTGCTACTATAAAAGTAATAATTAAAAGAAAGGGATGACAGATGAAAAGGGGAAACCACTAACACATGATGATCTCTGTCTGCTATCAGGTTTAATAATTCTAAGAAAGACTTAAGTGAAATCTCTCCATATTGGGTACTTTTCTGCTACTTATAGCATTTTAGAATATTTCTAGGTATGTATTATGCTTAGAAGAAGTAACTTATTAGTTAGAATTCAATCAATATAGTATGTTTGGACAACAATTCTTTAAATCTGAAAGTACTTGAAAAATTAAACAAATAAAAAGTGTTAAGAATTAAGTACAGGTTGGACCTTCCTGGCCTGGCATCGTTGGGACCACACCGGTCCCAAACAAGAGAGTTTGTCAAACCAGGGGAGGTCTGCCACCAGCCCCAACCCCATGCTGCTGGCAGGCTGCTCCACCAGGAACCCTGCCTTGCATTCTCCCCCAAACTGGCTGGGCTGCTTGTCTAGCTGCTGCCAGCTCCCTGAGCAGCACAGGCTCCGGCTGCAGACCATGGGCTGCCGCAGGACTCTGGCCCAGCCTCGTGCTCCCAGGGGCTACTGCAGGGCTCTGGTCCCAACCCCACGCTCCAGGGACTGCTGCAGGGCTCTGGCCCAGCGCTTCTGGGGGCTGCCAAGGGACTGAGGCCCCACACTGCCACAGGGCTCTGAATCCAGCCCTGCATTCCCAGGGACTGCCACAGTGCTGACATGGACTGCTGGGGGACTTCAGCCCAGTCTCACTCTGCTGCAGGGACTCCTGTCCCAGCCTCACATTGCTATGAGATGCCCTGGGGCTCTGGCCCAGCCCCACTCTCCAGGGGATTGTCAGGAGAGTCCGACAGTAGCCCTGTGTTCCCAGGGGTTGCTGTGGGACTCCGGCCCCAGTCCTGCTTTGCCTCCAAGCTGCCACCCTGTTTTCCACTGCCCCAGGTGGCCCTCCTGTCCTTAGGCTCCAGAGTTCTATGGTCTAGACGCATCCATGGTCCTGCCAGATAACAGATGTTGCCGGACCAGAGAATGCCAGTTTTCAGAGATACAACCATTATTACTAAATTGTTGTATTAAATTTCAACAGGTGATCAAATTTGTTAATCAGCTGAGGTACACCATTTTTAGATTTTGTAATAAATTGTTTTACAATAGCCCCTAGACATTACAAGTCAGGCTCAGTGCTATGTTGCTCTGGGAAGAATTAAAAAAAAATGGATCCTGCCACAAATAATTCTTACCCTATGCTATTACAATTTTTTAAAAGTTGAATGATTTTATAAAAACTTAACATGCTTTGAAAACATGTTATCTGTAAATGGTTTCTACAAGATCAGTTCTTATCAAATAAGAAACTTCCCATCCTGTCAATTGTGGGATCAATGTGAGAATGATACTGTACCAGAGATTTCAAAGAACGCTTATTTTTTCTTAATACATTGAAGGAGCCACCTTCTATAGACTACAGTGCCTAGAAAAAAATAAAATTAGACAACTCCACTATCTTTAGAACATTATATTTCAAAAGAGACAATGATAAAAAAGTACAAACATTTCCATGAACAACAAAACAAAAATAAAAAGTATGGAAATTGCCAGCAATTGTTTCAGTGCAGTTTTCAATAAGCCTGCCTCAGATACCTCTACAAATAAAATAATTGTAAGTACACTTCCTCTTGCTGATACGCAATATTTTTAAATTTTGATAACTGGCTTGTTTGTAATTAACTATAACACTAATATTTTAAACAGAAGAGTACAAAAATATTTCTGAAAGATTTAATAAACATTTTGCATTCATTTGTCAATATATTCTTGGTGTCAAGGAGAATATTAAATTTTATATTTTCTCTTAATTTAAAATATATAACAGATGGGAAGGAAATTTAGATGAAAAATATCCTTTAGTGTACTGACTAGACTTGAGACACTGTTAGTGTTATCAAATTTCTACATCAATTGTAAAACTCCCTTCAGAACCTTGAAAATACTTTTTCTATGCATTGTGTCCACCGTTGAAGAACAGTCAAATTTGCCATCAGGAACCAAAATGCCAGCATGACATCCTTCATGTTTTACTAGAATTAAGAATATCTTTTCAAAAGGAACATGCATAGCCCTCAGTTCTGCACTTCACTACTTTTATTTGAAGGCACTGTTTATGTTAAAGTATGCTACAGAACAGTACTGGATTCAGACAAAGTGAACACATTTTGGTGTAATATTAATAATAAGATAGCAGCCTTCCTGATACTAAAAGGTACCTATCTGGCAAAAATGGATAGTAAACATCTTTCTTAATGGAAGGTGTATCAATTTGGGGCACAATACATTTGTGTCATGTTAAATTAAACAAATTGCAGTTATGCTTTGTAATCCATTTATGTGCAGTTGAGATTATATTTTCTTTTCTTTCACATTTTCTCTCTAAGCAATACATTATTACTTTGCAAGATTCCATAACTTGGGCTAAAGCATATTCATGCGTATTTTTAAATGCACCAGAAAATATTAAAAAAACCAAAAACAAATCAGAAGTCAGACTTTTAAAAGCTATTCCTTTTAATAACCCTTAAGGAAACATGTTCAGCTAATGTGAAGTATGGATATAAGACCAAATTTACTTTGAAAATATAGTTGCTTATTTAGTATATTAAATATTGAGTTCATATCTACCCATCTGCCTCAAAATATTCAGTATGCTCAGATTCAGAAATATATAAAGCAGTAATATAAGAACTCAAGCATGCTTATTTTATGGGTGTGTTCAATCTGTTACTTTACATTAAATATTTTACAGCATATTATATTGACTAGATTAAAAGATCATTCCAATACAATATGAAATATCTCCAACAGCCCTCTTTGAACGATGTCAATTAAATCAGTAATTTCTCCATTTCTGTAAATTATTGGAATGTCTACAAGTGTCCTCAAACGTTTTGTTAAAAAAACGGCCAGGACAAAACGTTCTGTTGGAATGGCCATAAAAGAAAAAGTGCTAGCAGCAAACTAATTAAAGCACCTGCATCAATCCTCTGTAGCAGTAAATCCAGAGGCAAACAAGTGGGCAGTGAATTTAGATTAATGTTTCTGGTTAAGAACTCCATGTAATAAATAAATAAACAATACATTGTTTTTTAATTTTTCAGGGGAGCAGAAGAAAGTCTTTGATTCCTAAACCACTGAATGATTGTGATAGTCAACAAACTAATCTACTAGATTATTTTGCTCAACATTTAACTGATTTGTGTTGCATTAATAGAAAAAGTAAGTGTTTCAGACTACTTCCTACATCATATTCGCTACAGATGTGTAATAGCAGTAGGCAAAAATAGTGTTTCTGAATTGGATGCTATTAGATTGTTTTCCCTATATTGTTATGCTAAGGCAAAATTAAGTTTTATGATAAATAAAAAGAGGCTAGATGTTCATGCATTTAATACTACAAAATAGAGAATTGTCTGGGACCTATCCTGATCAGTCTTGAGTACCTTCAATTTCACTGTAGCTCATGGAGTTTAGGGTGTTTCGCACACTACCTGAAGTGCTCAGCACTTCAGAGGATTAGGCCCATAATATCTATGTGGATTAATATTATTGGGGATATTTTCAAAAGCACTGAGCACTGGCTTATTTCTGATCCCATTAATCCTAACAATAAATGGAGCAGTTAGACCAACACTGCGTGCTCTTAAAAGTTCCACCCCATAAAGGTTAGACATAAATTTTGCTACCAATTCTTTTAAAAGTTAACTAACATTGGTCTTCCAATGAAGATACATTTTTGGCTCTTCTGATTCTTGAGGAATAAGAAGTGCTATTTATTAAGAATTAAAAAAGATGATACTACCAAACTACAGTACATAGACTTGAACACACTGTTTTAGGCATAAAATCCCTGACACTAACACTTGTGGCACCTGTGGAGACAAATGAAATAAGAGTTCCTATATATCATGATATGCAACAACCTTAAAGATTTTTCCAAAATGCACATGCAATAATATGCATTAGCTATGATTTAGATGGCAAGCAGGGAATCACAGGATTTTTACCAGTAATAAGTAAAATTAAAAGCTTTCTTCCGAACAAACTTACATGTGAAATTAATTCTTCAAAACAGATATACATCAGGCTTAAAGCTCAAAAAACGTGTATAACAGTTTACAGTCATAGCTGGCCATCAATTATTGATAGTTCCATTATTTCATACAAGGCATAAATTTTGTTTAAAACACAAATATTTACATCTGTTCTTTCATGCTACTGAACACAGTAATACACCTAAATTCATATTGAAGCATAATTTACCATATTTAAAAACCTATTTGAGCACATCAATTTACATCACATATTTACAAAACACATTTTAAAAGGAAACAAAAAGCATTCATTTAAGTTATTTTAAATTATAAAAATTTCCTGGGAGAAAAGGCCTCTCTCTTGGCTTCCAAACAAGCTACAGATCTGTTTTCTGCAGTATATATAGTTGAGTGGTTGATAGAGAATATGGTGAAACAAGGCTTGAGTATTTAGTAGTCCCATGCTGTAAACATTGAGTAGTAGCTGCTGGCATTTCTTTTCAGAATATAATGCATGGTCACCCATGCAGTCATTTTTCTTCTCTTCCCAAACATCCTTCATCAAATAGTCAAAAAGACCTAATTTAAGGTCTTAATATAGTGTCTTTAATTTATATTTTCCAGTGTTACAAATTTGAACTCCAGGAATGTAGCTTGCCACTCACTTCCATCAATAGTCTCTAACAGGAGCCAGATCTGGTCTGAGGTTTACAGTTATATTTTTATAAAATCTACTGACAAGTATTTTAGGAATATATCTTAAATTGTTCAACCCATCAATGTACTGACGCTCCCTGGAATACCTCAGGAGTTTATACCTGTAGGGCAGAATAGAGAAGGATTGTGGAAAAAAGGTTTGTAAAGAAACATGTAGAAGTTATCAACTGCATTACCATAATTAAAAATAGGCCATCATTGATTTCGAAACCTCTATTTTACAAAACCTCAGTCTGGGAGAACTTCGTATATACAAATTACAAACATCAGCTTTAAATGCATGAATTTTTGCAGTTTTACAAATTAGATGAACGTTTACATGCTGTTCATATTCCTAGACAAATGACATTAACTACACAGCCACCAGGTGATTATGATTAATGCATATTACTATTTGTGGTATCAAACTGATTTGTAAAAACAATTTTCTTCATATTTTTCTTCACTGCATCAATGTAAAACATAGTTGAGATGGTTTACATACTTCAGTTGCATATTTCCATATTTTTAATTATTTGATTTTTTTTTAAATGCAACCTTAACTTTGAATTTCCTAGATTTACACGTGCTTGTTTTTGTGACAGATACATCTCCAATGCTCCATAATCTTAAACTGAGATTTTTCTCTGATTATATAGATTTCCTTAATGCAGTCTATGCTTTGGAATTTCCTTTTATAATCTTAATTAAAAGAAGAAACTCAAGAACAGTGCTATCATATGAGGTTATTAATGCTTTGGACATATGCAATATCAACCTTACCCTATTTTTTAATCTTTTAGCATTTAAGCCAGATTCACTAGCATGCTCTGGTTGTTTTACATCATGGTGGAGCCCACATGTAGTCACTACTTCAATTAGGTTTCAACTACTTTGCATCACCAGCGCAATACAGCAGAGATCAAAGGGAGGGAACTGGAATGCAGAAAAGGAAAGGATGGTGGCAGATGAAAGTAGGGGTATGTACAGGCCTTGGAGGAGAGAGCAATGTTTAATAAGGAAGACCAAAAAAGGAATTAGTAAAAGAGCTACGCAAAAACTCAAAAAGTAATATGAAAACTTTTTTAAGTACCTCAGAAGCGGGAAGCCTGCTAAACAAACAGTGGGGCCAATGGATGACTGAGAAGCTAAAGAAGCACTCAAGGATTATAAGGTCTTTGCGGAGAAACTTAATGAATTCTTTGCATCGGTCTTCATGGCTGAAGATGCTAGGGAAATTCACAAACCTGAGCCATTCTTTTTAGGTGACAAATCTGAGGAATTGTCCCAGATTGAAGTGTCAAAGGTGGTTTTGGAACAAACTGATAAACTAAACAGTAACAAGACACCAGGATCAGATGGCATTCATCCAAAAGTTCTGAAACTGCAGAACTATTAACTATGGTTTGTAAACTATCCTTTAAATCATCTTCTTTACCAAATGACTGGAAGATAGCTAATGTGATGCCAATCATTAAAAAGGTCTCCAGAGGTGATCCTGGAAATTACAAACCACTAAGTGCTTCATGAATGTGTAATTTGACGACTATGAGACCCCCCCTTTAAGAAAACAGCTGATGTCGACATCACCCTGGTAGAATGGGCTTTTACAGACATCAGTAATGACCTGTTCTGGAGTGAGTAACAGGTAGTAATGCATGATGTTCTCAGTTTTGAAATGCGCTGAGAAGACAGTAGTTGTCCCTTGGACCTTTCACAGCCAAGGATACCAGCAATCTCTGGGATAACCGAAAGGACTGAGTTCTACCAAGATAGAAGGCAATTACCCTTCTAATGGCCAGAGTGTGTAAAGCGGCCTCTTCCCTGGAGCAGTGCAGTTTTGGATAGAAGGTGGAAAGGACTATTGGTTCATTGATAAGGAATTCCGATCCAACTTTGGGTAAAAACGATGGATGAGGCCACAGAATAATCTTGTGCTTATGAAAGGTTGTATATGGAGGCAAAGCTGTGAGCACAGCAAGTTCGCTAACCCGCCTTGTGGATGTGATTGCAAGGAGGAACAGCGTCTTCAGAGTGAGGACGGTAAGCGATGAAGTTGCCATTGGTTCGAAATGTGATTTTGTGAGTGAGTGGAGGACCAATCATAACTCCCTTCCAGAATCTCTTAGAGATGGGATGGGAAAATAAGGAGAACCCGTCAATGGGGGGAGCGGGGGGGGGGAGGATGGAAGGCTGTAATGGCCTCAATGTGCACTCGGAGTGATGAGAGCTATACATTTTGTTGTTTCAAGTTCATAATGTATTCCAGTATCAGGTGGAGCGGTGCCCCAGAAGGTTGGATTCCTCTGTGTGCACACCACTGCGTAAAGCGACGCCATTTGTACAGGTAAGTCTTATGTGTCATTTGCCTCCTGCTATGCAGCCGTACATTTCTCACTTGCTGGGAACACTACTGCCCTGCTTCTGAGAACCAGATAGGTATCGTGCCATCAACTGTAGCGCTCATGGTTGGGGGATGAAGTATTGACCCTTGTTCTGAGAGAGGAGGTCTGGGTGGTTTGGAAGCGGGCAGGGAAGTCAGAGAGAGACAGTTGAAAAAAAAAAAAGACATGGGAACCATGTCTGTTGAGGCCACACTGGGGCTATCAGAATCACTTGGGCCTTGTCTTCCTGTATCTTTCAGATGACTTTGGGAATGATGGGGATAGGAGGAAAGGCGTTTAGTAAATGCGTCTCTCAAGAAAGGAGCATTGTATCTCCCAGGAAGCCGTATCTTATGCCCGCTCTCAAACAGTACTGGGGGCATTTGGACTTCTGTCAAGTTGCAAAGAGGTCTATCTGTGGTACACCCCAATGTTGGAAGAGCTCATGAGCGATGTGATTGTGCAGCTCCCACTCGTGCTCTTTGAGGAAGTTGCGGCTGAGGATGTCTGCCATAATATTCTTGTCCCCAAGTAATTATACTGCCATGATGGTTATGTTGTGGCAGATACACCAATTCCACAACTTGATTGCCTCTGCACATAATGACTGGGATCTCGCACCACCTTGGTGACTGATGTAAAACATAGTAGTCATATTATTGGTAAGGATATGCACCGAAGAGCCCTGAATGTGTAGGAGGAAGTGCTTGCATGCGTTGTGAACTGCTCGAAGCTCGAACAGGTTTATGTAGAGTTTGGACTTGTCTTGGGACCACTTGCGAGACCTGTTGTTGGACATGTGCACTGCAGCCCATCAGCGAGGCATCCGTAGTAATCTGTTTGGACAGCTGCTCACGGTGGAAAGGCACCCCTTTGCATAGGTTCTGCGCATGGGTCCACCATCAGAGGAAGGTAAGGACCCATGGATGAGGCGAGTCGTGGTGTCTGGTTAGTGTATACACTGAAGAAATCCAGTGCTGGAAACATCAAAAGCGCAGCCTGGCTTGCGGAACTACGCATGTGGTGGTCACCATGTGTCCCATTAGCTTGAGGCAAGTTAGGATGAGTATGGTTGGGATGGTGGTAACAATAGTGATGTGGCTTTTTGAGGTGTTAAAACGGTAAATGGAGAGATAAGCTCTTGCTGTTATGGAATCTATGAGAGCCCCTATGAACTCAAGGGATTGCATAGGCCATAGTGTGGATTTCTGCTAGCTGATAAAGAAGTCTAGCTACTGAAAAAAGGCCTTTGTAAACCTGATCATGCCTCTCATGCCATGTTGTGAGGAGCCCTTGATAAGAATCGTCCAGATAGGGGAATATTGTAATACCCTTGCATCTGAGATGTGCTGCTGCCACCGCGAGGGTCTTGGAAAAGACTCTGGGGGCAGAGGAGAGTCTGAATGGGAGGACTCTGCACTGGAAATAATGTGACGCTACCACAAATAGTAGGAAATGTCTGGGTTAAGGATGTATTGTGACGTGAAAATATGTATCTTGAAGGTTGAGGGCTGCAAATCAGTCCCCTCTGACAAGTGCCAGAATTATAGAGGCAAGAGTGATCATTTTGAATCACTGCTTGAGGAGATACTTGTTTAATTGCCACAGGTCCAAGATGGGCCTCCAACACCCTGACCTCTTCTCGGTGAGAAAGCAGTTTGAATAAAAACCCTTTTCCTTCAAATCTTTTTTGGACTCATTCTACAGCTCCTATATATTGAGCAGATGTTGCACCTCTTGGCAGAGCTGTGTGTCATGAGAGGGGTCCCTGAAGAGAGAGGGAGAGGGTGCGGAGGTTGGGGGAATTGCTGTGAAAGGGACAGAATATCTATGGCTGATGATTTCTAGTACCCACCGTGTACTAGCAATCTGTGGTGATTGCTGCCCATTGATTGTAATAAGGGCGCAAGCAGTGGTGAAATATGTTGGACTCGCCAGGTACTGGAGCAGAAGAAAGGTCAAGCAGACCCTCAACCAAATTCTCAAACTTGCTGCCTAGAGGCGTGAGTTGTTGAAGAGCAGTTCTTAGGGGTTCTACTATAGTGTTTCGAGGTCAGAAGCGATTCTGTTCAGAAGACCAGTACTGCGTTGTCTAGTAAAGGCCGTGTCCCTGTGTCTCTGGTAAGGTATGTAGCACTTCCTCCGGTAGGGTGCAGTGTACATCCCCAACTTGCGCAAAGTAGTGCGCGAATTTTGCTAAAGTGCAAGGCCTCGTCAGTCCATGTAGCAAATAATTTGGCCTTATCAAATGTCAGGTCCTCTATTTGGCCTGGAAGGTCTCATTACCACATACGTCGCAGTAGACCTAGCTGCAGTATTTGCAGCATCTAGTGCTGTCCAGGGATATATTGTATCCCTCTTTAATGACTGCCTTAAAGATAGGTCTTTTGTCCTCTGCAATACTGTGCATAAACTGTTAGTTTTATGTAATTGTCGAAATCATGATTTGCAAGCAATGCTGTATAGTTGGCTATGTGAAGCTGCAGGGTTGAGGAAGAGTACATATTCCTCCCAAAGACATTGAGGCATTTGTGGTCTTTGTCTTGTGTCTGAGCCTTGTACTGCGGGTTTTTGGCCCTTTGATTCACAGCATCAACCACCAAGGAGTTAGGTTGAGGGTGTAAGTACAGGAATTCCATGCCCTTTGATGGGACAAAATACTTTCCATTGGTCCATTTGTTTGTCCGGCGGGGGTGGGGGGGTGGCTGGAGTTTGCCTTACTTTGACTGCCTCAAGAATAGCTTCGTCTAGAGGCAGGGCAATTTTGGATTTTGCAGAGGGCTGCAGGTTCTTTAGGAGCTTGTGGTGTTTTTCCTGCACCTCTGATAAGACAACCTCATGACTGATAGCTACTCTCTTAAATAGCTCCTGGACCTGTTTAAGGTCATCACTAGGTGCTGGATCATTCAGGATAACTGCTTCGTCAAGAGCAAAGGAGGAATTATCATTGGGTGGTATGTCTGATTGCTGGACCATTGGTTCATCCTCAATTTGCCCTTCCTCTAGGTCCATGCCCTCAGATGGGGAATACAATGGGTCTGAACGTATAGAGGTCACAGACCTCTGTGCAGGTGTAGGAGAATGGAGGTATGATGTGGTGCCCCGTAGTGATGGGGGAACCATTGGCTATGGTGTCTGTCATAATAATACCATTCTGGATACAAGGATGATACTAATAATGAGGTAAGTCGTACGCCCCATAACGTGCATATGTTCTCTCTGGGGAGGAGTGTTGAGAGAACCTCCTCCTTGAATCCCCTTGATAGGCAGTGATTTGAGACAAGGCAAGTGAACATGGCAAGCCTCTTCTTGGTAAAGGGGAGCGAGAGCAGTGCCGTGTCAAAGGCCGAGCAGAGAACCCAGTTCTGGCCCTCCCGTCCTGTCTCGGTGGTGCCTATGTTTTGCGCATTGGAGAATAGCTCTGGGATGATGCCCTGTGAGCCGTTGCTGAGTCCCCCGGTACATGAGGTGGTAGCACGGATGCGGTTACGACCCCAGGGGATGTGGGGTTAGCGTGAGACTAGCCCTGTTACTTCCCAGTGCCTGTGGTGAAGATTGCATTGGGGGTTCATGTTGTGCTGGGGATACTTGAGTGTGCTCGAGGCACCCTGAGTGTCCTTGATGCCATTGGTACCTCTGTTACATCAGGCCCTTAGTAGGTGCCCTTTTTGATGCCTGGGCAGGTGGTTTGACTGCCTGTTTAGAGCGCACTCTTGAGCCTGTCAGAGGAGGCTCGAGATTTCCCCATGCCCGGTTCCATCCCCTTTACTAATTCTTGGCAGGAGAAAGCAGGCTGGTGAGGGTCTGGTTTCTGACCGTGCCTTCTGAGGTAAAGGGCTGGAGAGATTGCCCTGAGGGGATTTTGCGCTCGAGCCCTTATTGCCCCTTTTATAGCTAAGGGGGTGAAGGGCTTTGTCAATACACAGCATGCAGCTGTGAGCTCTCTTTCCTTGCAAGCCCTCGCAGTCAAGCTGTGGCAGTGGACACATTTTTGTTTTACATATGTCCCCCACTCCAAACAGTGTATTCATTCGCTGTGAGCATCAGAGGCTGGCATAGGCTCCTGGCATCTTCCACATTTCTTGTCCTGGCATGTCTCCCCAAGGCTGACTATATCACCCACGTTGTGTAAACCAGGCTACCTGCTTGGGTTATTAGTCGGTTTATTTGTGAGGGTTTTGAGGGAGTTTTTCTTCCTCAGTTTGACTGGGCTGCCTCAGCTTGTTCTTGTGCTGCAGTAAGAGCTGCTAGCAGCCTTTTTGTTTGTTTTTGTTTGAATAAAGAGAGTTTATCTAAAGTACTCAATTGGTTGTCAATTGCTTCTCTTTGATATGCAGAGCACGCTGAGAAGAGGGTGGAGCTCCGTCCACAGCCCAGGGCAGCGAAGAAGGAACTGAGGGAAAAGCGGGCTGTGCGCGCTTCTTCAAAAAGGTGGGAATGCTGCTCTCTGCTCGCGCATGTGCAGCCTGCCTGATGACTGCTTGAAAGTCTCCGATCTGTGGCACTGGGACAAAGCCTGACACCAACAGTGGAGCACCCACGGGGACATCACTTGAAGAATACACTTTCTTTACAGTTTACTTTTTGTTTCACTTCACTTTAAGTGAAACAACAAAGCTGACTTCACATACGGTCAGCATCCCCTGTTGTGTGAGTGCCACACATTTATTAATGGGAAGAGGGAGGACAGAAACAAACCCAATAAAATAGGAAAGTGCTACATAGTTTTTCCTTTTGTAAAACCACAGGAATCAGCAAGCTGTCCCAGAGTAGATCTCACCCGAATTTAGCAATTTTAAATGAACTAGATTTAAAATTATCTTTTGAAAAATGGTATGTACCACAACAGAAATCAATACACCACTTTACAAAAAGGCACGTAGTTTATGAATAGTTCTACTTCATTGTTTTTGAGTGAGAATATTCTCAAGATAAAATCTTCTGTATTCCTTAGGTTTTAGCATGTGATCACATCACCTTTTTACTCACCGGCCTAAAAACTGGACTTCACCTCTGTGATGATGAGGAATGGATTTGTACTTCCCTAGGTCTCCCTCTGGCCTTGTTACATTATATCCAGCATAATGAACCCTACAGTACAATAGTTAAAGATAAATTCATTTTTGTTTATGCATGTATTAAAAAAAAATTGCATTAGTATTCAGAGTAGCCATCTCTCATTTGCTGACAATCTTTCCAATATATAACCTTCACTTAATTGTTTAACTTTTTTTAAAATTTAAGCAAATAGTGCTACACACAGAATGACGAATAGTAAATAGGCCTCTGTCCCAAGCATGTTCCGTCTCTTACTTCCTGTATGAAGTAGGATGCGAGGAGGAGGGGGGAAGTGGAGTAATGCAGCCCTAGCTCACTCTGCTTCCCTGGTTTCCAACACACTGCTCAACCCTGCACTCACCGGTGGAAGTGGAGTGACATGGACAGGATCTGGGGAAGTAGAATGAGCTAGGATAGTGTCATTCTACTTCCCCCCCCCCCAACCCTGCTGCTGGCACCAGCCCCCAGCCCTGCTAGTCCTCCAAGAGAGGAGGCTTGGGGGTGGAGCAGGGGTGAGGAAAAGGCAGAGCAGGGAGAGGGCAGGACAGTAATAGATGTAACAGAGGTGGGATCTGGGACAGAGGGGGGGGGGGATTGTCCAGGCCCTGCCCCAGGGTAGGGGTAGCATGGGGACCCCCCCCAACCCTGCTGCTGGCACCAGCCCCCAGCCCTGCTAGTCCTCCAAGAGAGGAGGCTTGGGGGTGGAGCAGGGGTGAGGAAAAGGCAGAGCAGGGAGAGGGCAGGACAGTAATAGATGTAACAGAGGTGGGATCTGGGACAGAGGGGGGGGGGGATTGTCCAGGCCCTGCCCCAGGGTAGGGGTAGCATGGGGAAGAATCACATGGAGGGGTGGTCACATAGCCATTGTTCCCTCTGTGTTCCTTGTCAGCAGTCACTCCTGATTTAATGAGGTTTTAATATAGTCAATTCCTCTGTTCTGTTAATCGTCACTTACAACTCTGTCTCATGAGATACCATGAATGTCACTTATACACGCTCTTTGACATGGAATCAATTTATGAGCGTACTCTTCCCCAGACACTGTAAGAAGGATTTTAGTAGCAACAGCAGTGCCAAAACTGTGGTGGGGAAAAGCACATACAGAGAAAAAGCAGAGAGAAGCTCAGATATGCTTTGTGTCACTACTATCATAGCACACATGCCTAACAGGGAGATATATCTGTTTAAGAGGGCTAAGGGTAGGGAGAGGTAGGTACAATGAATGAATGGCATTTGGGTCATTGTTGCTAAGCCAATATACAATCTGCATTCATGTCCAGAATTTTCTGGAGATGGGTGTAATAGTTTGGGGCATGCCTGATATGGTTCCTGTAGTTGGACTAAAACTCCATTGAGGCATGGCAAGTAACCAGAGCAGCTGTGTGGTGGTAGGAAGAAGCTCAGCGATAGGAACAAAAAGCAAACTGATTCCCCCTAACTCTGAAACATTTTGTAGCTGGCTGGTGATACAGGTTGAAACTCTCTGGTCTGGCATGATTTTAGTTAGCCGGATATCCACTTATGAATTAGGTCAAGTTTCTTGTGGTCCCATAAAATGTATTTACAGTCTCCAGTCTTGGCTCTCAGTATTCTGTGCTACTATTTAGTTCTAATCTACCCCCAAATGTCTTTTAAGAGCCTTTTAAGCAGTGAAAGTGTTGGTAATGCTGCTAGACAATATTGACCTCTCATGGGTCAGCAAATTCTCTCATTCGGCACTAGTCAAGTCCCAAGGATGCCAGACTAGAGAGGTTCACTCTGTACTGTTAACTTTCCAACAGGAATGCAAGAGAAGTGTTAGTAATCAGTAATGGAAGGAAAAATCTGGAAGAAAACTAATTTTTTTTAAATGTATACTTTGAATGTTATTTGATTTTAGTCATATTTTCTTAACTGGCATGATTCACCATCTCTTCTCTCATTTAAATGTGTTGATAGGAAAAGTGCCATATAGTCCTAATTTTGCAATGGTTTTGATTCACAAGACTGCATGTAGTGGATTAGCAAGGACTAACTGAGATCAAATGAACTCAATCTAAGCTTTTAGATGTCTCAGGTACATCTCTCTGTGTTTTAGATTTAACTTTTGCATATATAGTTATGTATAAACTATGACAGACAATACATTTGGATTATGAAGTAATCTTGTTATCTAGTAGATATTAAAATAATACTGTTTCTTAATTCTTTCGTACCAACTTTATAAAAAATGAAAATAAAGGTCATTTTTCCTCTCTTTGGAATTGATCCATAATGAAAATCCTTAAGAAATGAATTCTGTGACTCCATGTGCTTTTTTATAGAGGTTATGGTCAAGCACTAGTCGAAGTGGCAATCAATTCTAGCCCACCCAAAGGTTACACTAGTAGGTCCACCTAAAAGAGCCTTTTAGATAACAGGCCAAGCAGAAAATCCTTCATACAGATTTCTTTAAAATACTGGAACATATTATTTAAGAGTAGTATTAGAAACATGATTTTGAAATCTGAACTCTTCAAAAAAATCTAATTAGCAGTGTTCCATTTAATTACAGGTTTATTTGTTTCTAAAAATAGCTAATATCATATCTGGCTCTTCCCAGCTAGGGTCACCAAACCTCCTCGAGTCCCCAAGAATTAAATACAGGTTGTAATTCCCTTAACTGAGACTCTATTCTGACAGGACCACAGATGTTCCTGGACCACAAAGTCCAAGTACAGGGAGGTCTGGCCACAGGGCAGTAGCCTGGCAGAGGTAGGGGGTAGAGGAGGTGCCATAGCAGGGAGATATGGCCCCAGCTACTGGGCAGTAGCAGAAGTCCAGCAGTGGCTGCGCAGCTCTGGCCCTGGCAGCAGCCAGGAAGCTCCATCACCAGCCACACAGCTCTGACCCTGGCAGCAGGCCGGGAGCTCCTGCCCAGCTGCATAGCTCCAACCCCAGCAGCAACCAGGAAGCTCCAACCCCTGCTGTGCAGCTCAGACCCTGGCAATAGCAGGGCCAGTGGGAGCTGGAGAGCTCCGGCCCAGGGAGCAACAGCTGGCCAGGCAACAGCGGGGACGGCCATGGAGGGAGGGGGGCAGCGGTTTAGCATGAACCATTACGGGAGGAACCTCCCCTCGTCCGGCAAATCCCCTTGTCTGGGATCAATCAGGTCCCGAGGCTGCTAGACCAGGGGAGTCTGACAGTCTGCCCCATAGGCTTTATGATTTTCAGGAGAGAGATTACATTTTTTTTTTATAAAGCACATCAAGTACAGTATCAGTGCAATAACAATGAATACATACTGTTTGATTTAATATAACACACTATAAATACCTGCTTACTCATATAAGTCGTCTACAAACTTTTCTTAACTTAGATAATTTAACAGGAAAAAAAGAGCTCTTGATCACTGTTCAAGAGATCATGTCTTACAAAATGTACTGTAAACACTCACCTATTCCAAAGATCATCATCTTCTCCTCCCCATCCCCAGAAAGCATTTGGAAATCCATTGATCTTTTTGAATTGTTCCACTGTCAATCCACTAACACCACCAAAGAACTCGCTGTATGGAAGACTGAAAATGATAGCAAGTAAGTTTTTACTTATATAAATTCAACCAATAGAGCAGGGCTGGCAAACTACAGCCCGGAGGCCAGATCCGGCCCACAGACCACCCTGCTGGGACCCTCAGGCACACAGCTACCACAGTTTAAAACAGAGTCCATGCAGCTCTCTGCTCTGTAGGAAGAGGGAGGCTTCATGTGATCTCCCAACCCGCAGACCAATCCTCAGCTCCTATTGGCTGGAAACAACCAATAGGCGGATGGGGGCAGCACAAGCCTCTCCCCGCTCCCGGAGCTGAGAGCCATGTGAAGGGAACAGCCTGAAGTTTTAAGTGGTCTGGGTCTGCAGCAGGCAGGGAGCCTATCCTGCCTTGGAGGTGCTGCAGGGCTCCTGGCCAGGAAACACAGAGGTAAGCACCTCCCACTCAGAGCTTGCCTCTGGGCACCCCAACTCCCTCCCTCCTGGTCACCATCCAAACCCTCTGCACTCTCCTGCCACAAGGCACAACTCTCTCCTAGTCCCTGTACCCCCGATATACTCCTCACCTAGGCCAGAATCTTCTCCTGCACCCATACTCCCTCCCTGACCCAGCTCACAATCCCCTCCTTTATCCAAACTCCCTCTCAGGCTCACATTGTCTCCTGCACCCCAGTCCCTTCCCCTCATGCATCCTTCTACACCCTATCTGCATTCTACACCCTGCATCTCCTCCACAGAAAAGTGCAGCCCTTGGCCACTTTCCAAAAGCTTGGAGTGGCCCTGCACCAAAAATTATTGCCCACCTCTGCAATAGAGTAAAGATCTTATTTGAATAACTGCTTTCATATATTTCCGTGGAAAAGGTGTCATATATGGGTTCAATATACCCGCTAGGAAAAAAGCTTTGATATTTTATAAATTAAAGCTGGTAATAGCAAAAAACGTGCACACTGAATATTTGTAATAAAAGCTTTCATTTACGGAACAGACTACAGCAGACAACAGCTCAAGTTAGCATCCCATGAAACAGCAAGCTTCAGGTAGCTGATTTTAGAAAGGAGACTGACTTACTGCTGAAGGAACTGTAAAACAAAGCTTTCAAAATGTGGTATTTGGATACTATTAAGTTGAAAAGTTTCTTTTCACCTTAGTCAGCAGTAAAAGCTTTGATATAAGTCAATAATATTTCCAGTCCATTAATGTATGCTGGAAAACTGGGGAAAAAATCAAACAGTTTAACACCTTATATTAGCCTATTCTGGAGTATTTTAAAAGAATGACAATTCCTCCTTTATTTCATTTTTTGGAGAGCACAGCTAAGCACATTCAACACTATTTGAATCCTTTTTGCACCAAGAGAATATTTGTTGGCTATAAATGCATGTTGACTACCATCACACAATGTTAAACAATAAGAAACTGGCCAACATGTACAACCACGAGATTTACATCGCTAAAATTGCTCTTGTCAGTTACTCTTTGTTAGTTGTATTTGCCTGATTCCAAACACTGTATGCAGCTAAAGGCCACTAGCATGGATGTTCTCTTTAGTCCCTTGCCTTCTACAATTACTGGATCAGATCATTCAAGTTCTCACGAGCTGTCACAGAGAGAAGAAATTTCCAAGAATAGTTTATCAGTTGCCTCTGGGATGCTATGGGTGAAGGAGTTGCTTGATAGAGAAGATAAAATAGCCTTATTTGTATTATATATAATATGGGAGCAAAAAACAAACTGTAAGTAGACAACTATTATCCCCACTTACTAATGAGGAAATAGACAAAAGAAAAATGAATTTAATCCAGATTTTTAGGGTTTTAAATGGCTTTGTAATGAACTGAATTTCCAACACGGCTGGCGCACATGCACAGGGTGAAAGAAAAGTTCCAAAAGTTTTCTGGAACAACTGCAACAGCAAGAGTTGCAGACAAGTGGATATTTAGAATTGATAAATGTAACAGAAAACATTATCAATACAAAATTGCAGCTGAAGGGAAGTAATCAAGCATCAGAATTCACATTACTTTAAAGCTTAATACTACCTGAATGCATGGATGAGAGGCACTCTATCAAGTGGAAGAAACCTTTCATTTAAGTAGTAACAGAAAGTTAAAATACAAGAACCTCTGTACTAAATAGTACATTAATGCAAAGCTGATGTGGAAAATATTTCCCATAGTACCTTCTTCTCCTATTCCAAGATTGTGATATTAGAACAATGATAGGAGAAATCTCAAGAAGGCACACACCAGAAGGAAGGAAGTACTGAAGCCCCTTTAAAGTAGTTAGATAGATTTAAACAGACTATTTTAGAAGCCAATATTAAAAGTATATGAAAGCAACAGAGACCTTTTGAGAGCTGTGATCAGATCAGGACAGTGAACACAAAACCAACATTCAAAATATTTCTATAAATATTATTCACTTTTTCACAAAGAAGAAATAAATGATCAAGAGTAACTTGCTTTCATAGCCACATGTAAATATTTAGTAAAATAGAGGGTATTAAAGGAGGTAGTGTCTTTATACTAGTAGCTTCTCAAAAACAAAAACTAAACACTACCTTCGGTTTTTCCTTTTATGACACCATAAGCTAATAGTTTATACAACATTTACAGTAATAACATGGCACATCTTTTGGTAAAATCTTAATATTCAACCTAACCTACAAAAATGTAACTGTGGCTAAGGATTTCCGTAAACTTTATATGCACATTCAAAAGACATTTCTGCATCTTTTAAGACAGGATAGAGTGAACTGCATTACTTACATGTACATGTATTTGTCCAGCTTTGCTGCAAAATGACGTGGCATCTCTCCACATCCATAATAATTTCGGTCATTTTCAGGCAAATGATCCACATCATGAAAAATTACACAGTCCCAGGCAACATCCTTCATAGCCTCTTTGAAACCAACATTGAAGAGCATTGCACGGTTAAAAGGTTGTGTACCACTCTTTATGGGGAAATAAAGGAGAAACTGAATGAGGCACAAGAAATAGAAAACTTTTATATACAAGAAATGTATTAGCTCCCTCATATTAGAAAAAGGGTGATTTGACACAGAGGTTTGTTTTGCTCCTATTTAATCAAAACAGCAGCAAGAATACCAATAATTTCAACTCTATTTTTGTGCAGTTAAAAAAAAATCCTCACTGTAGAATTTCTGCCCTTGAAGATTTTAAAATTCCATTTAGTTCACATTTAGTAGTACTGCATCATATTAATCATAAGCACCAATTTAGGATAACTGATACCTGTCTTCAAGTTTTGGTTAATGGTTATGAAGAAGTATAAATGCAATACTAAATCACTAATGCAATACCAAAGTTTTAAACAATGTTTAAAACACTCCAACCATGTATGTCACTAAACAAAGCACATAGTATTTATGAGCATCAAGTAGTATGAAAGGCTAATATTTTGCTACATTTACAGTAAATTCAACTTGTAATAAGATAAGTGCACCACTGGATAAAATTTTTTTCAATAATTTTATTGAAAACCTTAATTTTCAACATAATTGAATGTCTTAGGCTATGTCTACACAGCAGCATTATTTTACAATAACCGACGTTATTTTGAAATAAAAAGAGCATGTCTACACTGCAAGCCATTATTTTGAAATAATGTTTAGCTGGAGGACTTCTTACTCTCACTCCTGTAACCCTCATTTTACGAGGAGTAAGGGAAGTCAAAGGAAGAATGTTTTTCCTTCGACATCCTGCTGTGTAGACAGCACAAAAAGTCAAGTTAAGCTATTTCGACTTAAGTTACGCAACTGACGTAGTTCAAGTTACGTAGCTTAATTCGACCTCAGGCCTGCTGTGAAGACGTACATTTATACACCAAAAATCAGATTTGAAGATTAGCTCTCTGAAGATTGAACATTAGTTTACAAAACTTTTTAGTATTAGAAAATGTAATTAGAGCCTTTAAAAAGCATCCTTTCCTTATTCTCTCAGGGTATGTCTACATTTGCCCCCTACTTTGAAGCAGGGAGGTAAATGAAGCATACTGAAGTTGCAAATCACGCCCAGGATTTAAATATCCCGCGCTTGATTTGCATGTTCCCAGCAGGTCGCCATTTTAGAAATTCACTAGCCCAGAGTAACTGCCTGCGTCTACACGCAGTGGGGGCTCTTGTGTATTTCAAAGCCATGGAGCCCGGGGCCAGCGGGGGACTTAGAACCCCCAAGGCGGCTGCTGCACAGCTATCTCAGAGGCAGCAAGGGGAGAGGGGGAGGGATACTGACTAGCAGACTAGTCAAAAGACTATCTGATAAGCAAATGCTTATCGGATAGTCAAAATAGTCTTTAACATCCTTAGTATCTATCTAGCTCTTTTTTTAACCTTGTTAAAGTTCTAGCCTTCAGGACATCCTCTGGCAAGGAGTTCCACATTAGACTGAGTAAACCCTCTCATTTCATGAGCCAAATGGACAGCCTTCAAATTATAACTACTGTTGGTTAATCTAGGGGTATAAAACTGTAGAGCTTGCTATTAGTTCCTGCCCTCCAATCCCTTCACAAATATAAATTACTATTTTTTATAGCTACAAAGGTAATGATTTTGCACTAGAAGCCATAACTTTGTATACAAGAGAGTCAATGAGGTTAATGTTAACAGCTATAAAAATATCACCCTATATTTTAAGAGATATAAGAAGTCATTGACCACCAATAAATATGAGAAAAGAGTTTTGTTTAATATTAAATGCATTAGAATGTAACCAATAAACGATTAGTTTCAGAAGCTGAAATTTCCTGATTCACCAAAATATTCAATAGCAATATAAGACTGAAATCAGTGAGGAAGTTCTATTTAACACACTATTCTAATTGAAGACTCACCTGTTCAACAACATAAAAGGCAAATTCCAACCGTTGCTTCTGTAACATAGGTATCAAGTGCCGGAATAAAATTGGAAGATGTTCATGGCGATTGCGAAAAGGAATGAGGATTGCCACCTGCAAAATAAGTCAGATTATAGTGTAAATATTAAGATCATAGATTAGTATTTTAAAATCATAATGGGTAAAAGGAAATCTGTTGTGATTTTTTTCAGTGTTTTAGCCTTAATGTTAAATTAAAGAACTCTTCTACAACTCTTTGCTCGCTTGAAAACAGCAAAGCAAGGTAGTATTTTTTTCACACAAAAATATGATGCATTTTTCTAGCGAATAATTCTACCTGTGAATTTAAGGGGTAATGCTGGTATCCAACTGCAGTTTATTGTAAACACTTTATCGAACAAAGGATTTGACATACTTGGAAGAGCCACCACTGACTAAGGCAATACCTGTTTTTACTACAATCATTGTTCTCATGAGACATGTTCCCATCACGTGAATACACATAGTAGAACACAAATAATGAATTCATGTTTACATAGTAAAATGCCAAATACCTAAAAATTCCTTAATTTCTCTGCAGATTTGTCTACAAGAACTGAAACCTGGTGAAGGTTAATGACAATATTTAAAACTACCCCCTTAGATCAAATGACAGGCACAAGGATTTTAATTCCTAAGAGAATGGATGCTTGCAATTTTAATATACTCTTATAAGCAGGAAAAAATATGTGGAAAGAAAGTCAATAAGGAACTTATTCTCACCTTCCATCGTGGTTTACAATCTTTTGGTTTCCAATGACCACCTGGCTCAATGTCTAAATCCTTTGAAAATACTTCCTGAATTTCATCAAAACTAATTTCACTCATGTTGACATTGATAAGGCCTCCTAATGTAGTAAGAAATAATTAAAATGAATGAATATTTTTTGTAAGATGTACAAGTCTAACAGTGTTTTTAATTTACTCTTCCTGAGACACTGTACATAAGTAAAATCCTTATGTTTATTACCTATTGGTAAAAAGAGTATTGATAATTTCTTCCAGAATATTTACTGCATATAGGAATGGATTTTAATTTTTTTCAAAGAATAAAAACATATTCCTTTGCAAAAGCCTGTATAAGAATCCCATAATTCTGTTTTATAGAAACATTCTACAATAGGTAAAATACAATTAAAGCTTCTAATCAATATGAATACATTTTACCCAAATTTTGTAAAGACATAGTAAACTTACCATAAGTATGTCTTCTCCTAAGAATCACTCTACAAGTTAATTGTGATTTAATTAATAAATTTAGTTAGTTTCTGTACTCAAAAAATTAGGTTTACAGGATCTTTCAAAAAAGCCTGCCATTTTCGAAAGAACTGCATCTACACAAAGGTTTTACTTTCAAAATGGCGCTTTTTTGAAAGAGCGCCATGACGCAATTATGCAAATGATGTGTGGGATATTTAATTTCAAAGAGTAATTTACATCCCTCTTTCAACAGAGGGATGTAATCTAGACACAGCCCTTGAGTCAAGACTCTCCTGGATGTTAGCAAGGTCTCGAGGACTTTAGAAGATGCATCGAGAATTGCTAAGGTTTCCTTTTCAATAACCAGGCTGTCAGCAGGCGACAGATTAGATTTAGATTAAGAAATGGGATTTGGGAGGTAATCAGTCCCCAAGTTAACTTCTGATAGGCAAAGAAAGGGAATTGACCTAGCTAACCTGAAACTAGAAAGTGTATCAAAATGCACTTTATTCCAGGCAAAGTAGTCATCACTGCCTGCTATGCTAATTATTTCACCCATTGCAAAGATAGCTTCCCCAATTATCACCCCTAAAATCATTACCTCACAGAACATAAGAACGGCCGTACTAGGTCAGACCAAAGGTCCTTCTAGCCCAGTATCCTGTCTACCGACAGTGGCCAGCACCAGGTGCCCCAGAGAGGGTGGACCGAAGACAATGATCGAGCGATTTGTCTCCTGCCATCTCTCTCCAACCTCTGAAAAACAGAGGCCAAGGACACCATTTTATCCCCTGGCTAATAGCCTTTTATGGACCTAACCTCCATGACACTAACCTTCCCCCCTCACCCTGTTCTAAAATCTGATTTGTTAATTTTATGTGTGTTCACTTTTTTTTAGTCGATTGTATCACTTTGGTATATACGGGCGTGCCAATTTTCTTCCACAAATTGACCCGAGGAAGTGGGTCTGGCCCACAAAAGCTCATCACCTAATAAACCATCTTGTTAGTCTTTAAGGTGCTGCATAGTCCTGTCTTTTGTTTCAGCTAGACCAGATTATCACGGCTTCATCTCTATCACTATGCTTCAAGAATGATTTAGGGAAGTGAAAAGTTCAAGAAGAATGTCTATTTAATAATAAACACTTCTAAATCAAACACAAAAAATAAAATACATACTAATATGTAATAATCAAAAATCAGAGTGCTAAATCCTGACATTGATATGTTCAGTAGTAACTTACTTTTGCAATTAATTTTAACTGAAATCATTAGGACTTCTCTACGAGGCCACATGTAGACTAAGGCACCAGACAATGTAAAGAACGATTGCGGAATATGACTCAAAGTAAGGAAAATCCAGAGGCATAGCACCAATATGATAGTCACAATTCCTGTTCTTCTGATTACAACTATTTCAATATGAGGTTTTCAGTGCTGGAACTTTATATGTTGTGTTTATGTGTTTTAGTTGTGTGACTAGTTCTCCATTCATGTAGTTTTCTTAATTTACTCATTTTGTTAAAAAGAGAAAATAAGGAATTGCCTTTGATTCATATTAGCATTTTAATATTCTATGTCCATAAAGTTTTCCACCTTTTTTATATAAGAATTGAGATAAGGTCAGGTTCCCACCTTTCCTAATTCTTTTAGTTAGCCACTATTTTCTGCAGAACTGGATTAACAAGGTAGCAACATATTGGTTTATAGTTTGACTTTATCTACACAACAAAAAGAAAAACAAAACTTAGTATTTGAAAAAGATGGCAGAATGCAGCAAGTTCAGTTAATATATTTTAGAAGTATTTGGCTAATAATTTACATATTTGTCAATGTACTTTGCTAATGATATCTAACCAATTTAAACAAATTGCTAATGCTTTTCATAGTTTAAACTTTGCCATTGACAAAATCTATAGCTCATCTTTACTCCATAATTCAACAAGAATCAGAGCAGCTTCAATCAAGACTACTATTGTTGAAAGACTGGAACTACTACATTTACAAATGTTATTTTTTATTATTATTATTTTTTCAAGCAGTTCAGTATTAGCATTAATTTATCAGTTCAGTCACAAACATACTTGGTGATTTAACTAACTTCCTGCAGTTGTAAGGCAGTCATTTTAATTAATGTGCATTTGTAATATTGGTTAAGTGAAATAAAATTAAACCATTAATTAAATTGGAATGTGTTCAAAAATAGATAGAAAATATTTTTTCAACTCATCTCATTTTTCAGTCAGAAGCAGTTTCTGTGTTTTTGACTTTTGATTTATCAAATATGACCTGGCTACAGGTTGAACCTCTCTAGTCCAAAACTCTCCCGTCTGGAAACATCCATCGTCCAGAATTATTTTAAGTTAGCTTAAAATAATGTCCACTTTTCATGAGTGACACCAAGATTCCCCATGGTCCCATAAAGTTTGTTTACAGCCCCCAGTCCTGGCTCTCAGTGTTCTGTGCAGTTATTTAGCTCTAATTTACCCCAAAATGTCTTCTAAGAGCCCAGAAAACAGTGGAAGTGTTGGTAATGATGCTAGACCAGCGGTGCTGCTAGACCCCCCCCCCCCCTTTTTTTTTTTTTTTTTGCTTCTTGGTCTCTTTTCATGGTGTTTCAGATTTACAAAGATCTTTACACTTCTCTCTTAGGTACACTGGGCTCTACATCAAGGAATTTTCCTTCTTTTCTGGGTCTTCTGCCTATAGATTTCTCCTCCCGTAGGGAGCTAATCATTATGTTACTGCACAGCTGTTAAGACTGACTTTTTAGCAAGAGGATTAAAAAACCCAAACTTTTTAGCATTGAAGACAACGCGAGACATCTGAAAAGTTAGCTTGGAATTTCTGTTTTATGGCCTTTTCCACACCAGGAAATTAGGTCAAAATAAATGTGTCATTTAATTTTTCATCAAGAATATTCTCACATCCAAAAATTTGCACCAGACATCCCCAAAGCCTCTAATTCAGTTACAAATTATTATTATTATTACATGTGTTCAAGTGAGTTTTATTTAAGAATTCTTGTTTAACAGTTGGCATTTTGAGTTAACAGAACTAGATACATTAGATAAGGATATAAATTAAGATGCAATTATAAACTTACTCATGTAAGGCAGCTTTTCTGGACAAGCCTGGTAAGGAGAATATGTGAAGTTTTCTGGAAGATACATTGTTGTTTGAGCAAAGTAGTCACTGGAATTGCTGCCTTCAGGATAATCTATTAAAAAAAAGTTTTTTGTTAAAATGAAAGTTTCCTGATAGCTCCTCAATGTATCACTTAGAGGACAGGGACCTTTTTGCATTTTATCCTGGCATCATTGCATGAACTTTCTGCATGATCTGGCAATAAAGATAAAAACATTTTCTGGAACAATTATCAAATTGATCCTCAAATTCCAATTTATTTACTCTAGCTCTTGATAAACCTATTTCTTTTTGTTAAAATGAAAGTTTCCTGATAGCTCCTCAATGTATCACTTAGAGGACAGGGACCTTTTTGCATTTTATCCTGGCATCATTGCATGAACTTTCTGCATGATCTGGCAATAAAGATAAAAACATTTTCTGGAACAATTATCAAATTGATCCTCAAATTCCAATTTATTTACTCTAGCTCTTGATAAACCTATTTCTTCTAGACTATAAGGTAAAAGAAGGGTGCTTTAAATAGATTTTTGCAAACCTACATGTAAACAAAATCTGTCATTGTCATGAAGAAAGAGACTCAACTGTTTTTTAAAGACTTTAAAAAAAATTCTTACCTGTGCCATTCAGTGTAGCATTTTTATTAGTGTACAATCTGATCAGATGTCCTATTGTTTTCACATTTTCTCTCAACATTATGCCTCTGGCTTGTACCATAAAGAGATAGGTGTTTGCTGTTAAACACAAAAGTGACTATTTCATATCAAACTGAATTCAATAGTATTCAAATTTATTTTCATATTTAACAATTTTAATGTAATCAAATCAATACTGAACATCATAAGAGTTCAAGGTACAGGCAGTCCGAGTTACGCGGATCCGACTTCCACAGTTACAAACGGGGCTTTTCTCGCCCCGAAGGACGCGGGCAGTGGGACCGCCCAGACGCGCCGCGGTCCCGCCGCCCGCGTCCTCCGGAGCGAGAAAAGCTGCTCCGCGTCTCCCTGGTCTGCTGGGGGAGGGACCCCCAGCAGACCAGAGAGACGTGGAGCAAAGCCGCGGAGGACGCAGGCAGTGGGACCGCGGCGCGTCTGGGCTGGATTGGCTGGTGGAGGGCCCCCCCAGCAGACCAGGGAGACGCGAAGCAAAGCCACGGAGGATGTGGGCGGGACCGCGGCGCATCTCAGCAGTCCCCGCCTCCCGCGTCTCCCTGGTCTGCTGTGGGGGCACGCGCGCAGCTAGTGCACCCCACCCCCACCCCCCGGCAGACCAGGCTTTTCTCACGGATGCCTGGGGTACAGCAGCTTGGGCGCTGCCGGGTTGGTCCCGCAGCGCTGCTCCTGGTGGAAATATTAAACAGCAGCTGTCCCATTTTAGAATTATACAATATCAATCATTGAAAAAAAAAATCTCAAAATGCAGTAGAACCCAGTTTACCAGATCCTCCATTATCTGGCTCTTCAACCATCACAAAAACAGATCCAGAAGTGGACCATCTCCTATAGCCGCTAGATGGTGCTACATCCTCACGCTTTCCTATTTTCCAGATTTCTTGAATTTCTGATTATCCAGTCTAGCCATGGACCCAATTAGATCAGATAAATAGGATTCTGTGGTATTAAAACTCAGTTTCCCTGTGAAGTAGTTATTAGAGACATTACAGGTTGGTAAACTCAAGTATAGCGAATTTAACTGATTCGCTGAAGATGATAGCACAAGTAACTGAACCAAAAATCCTACCACTCACATTAGTATTCAAAACCCTGAACAGAGCTCCTATAACATTTTGGCCTGAACAGAAAAGTGAAATTAATTAATATAGGGCACACAAATCTTGAAGATAAAATGTTGATGCCGTCTAAATAGGCACAAGCCTAAATTGGATCCATACAACTTCAGTAATCTACAACTGGATAAACAATTTTTTTTTTGTAAATCAATTTTCATATTGTGTTGCAAAGTGGGTCATCTCTATCACTGCACATATGCCAACCATGCAAAGTAGGGATGGAAAAGAGCAGTTGATTAGTCTAGTTGTAAAAAAGCAGTTGATTAGCTTAGGCTTATTGGGTAGTCATGTCAACGACTTGCATTCCCCCCACTTGCTGCCTCTATATCTATACAGGCAGTCCTCGGGTTACGTACAAGATAGGGACTATAGGTTTGTTCTTAAGTTGAATTTGTATGTAAGTCGGAACTGGCTCCAGATTCAGCTGCTGCCACTGTTAGTCTAGTTGTAAAAAAGCAGTTGATTAGCTTAGGCTTATTGGGTAGTCATGTCAACGACTTGCATTCCCCCCACTTGCTGCCTCTATATCTATACAGGCAGTCCTCGGGTTACGTACAAGATAGGGACTATAGGTTTGTTCTTAAGTTGAATTTGTATGTAAGTCGGAACTGGCTCCAGATTCAGCTGCTGCCACTGAAACTGACCAG